AACTTTCCCAACCACACAACAGCTATCTCAGCTTTACTGTAATCTTTCCCAAAACTCTAAAGCCAAGCAGGTTTGAGAAACATCGTACCAAAGCTAGTGAGACTCCCAAGAGATACACCACAATGCTGCAGGGAAGTAGGGGGGAAAACCCACTCCCTAACAATATTGAACATAGGGGAGACAGCCCATGTGGGAGTCTCTAAATAAAAGCAATATTTTAGCTGGGCACCTAAAAGACGAGTAGGGCCAGGCCAGGCCAGCCTCGTGGGGAGAAGCCACTCCAAAGGCAAAGTGGTGCCACAGAGAACACTCTGCCTCTGCTGTCACTGGCCTCACCTCTGCATGTGGGGACACAGAGAGCAGGTCTTGGGAGCCAGATCTTAACTGGGAGGAGGCAGCCCTTCAGGTACACTGGCCGCAAGCTGTACAGGGCAGGGTGTTAAAGGTAAAAAACAGCACTCTGAATTGTGTGACTGGAAAGAGTCAGCACAGGGGTGGTATGAACCCCTGACAATCATCTGGCTGTAAGGTTGCCAGCTCTGGGTTGGGAAATACCTGGAGATTTTGGGGGTGGAGGCTGAGGAGGGTGGGCTTTGGGGAGGAAAGGGTATAAAACCACAGAATCCACCCTCCTAAGCAGCAATTTTCTCCTGGTGGACTGATCTCTGTCACTTGGAGATCAGTTGTAATAGCATGAGATCTCCAGCCACCACTTGGAGGTTGGCAACCCCATATCTGGCTGCCACATTTTAGAACAGCCAATTTTTGGAATAATTGAAGTGGGATGCATATCATATGGGTAAGGTGCGCAATCTTTCTATCAAGTACATTCTTATCCAGCCTTTCTTCCATGGAGAGCAGAGTGACATACAAGGATCTCCCTCTCTCAATTTTATCTTCACATGAAATTAGGCTGACAGAACATGACTGGCCCAACGTTACCCAGCATGTTTCATGACAGAGAGTGAGAATTCCCAGAGCACAGTCCAATAACCTGCTACCCCACACTCACTCATACTTCTCTGGCATAGTCTTTTTGCCGCTGCACCCCACCTTCGCCAGCTTTCAGGGCAGCAGGCCAGAGGCGGAGACAGTGAGCCAACCCCCAACAGCCCATTTTTGGCGCTCCCCCCACCTTCACCAGCTTTTGGGGGCAGCAGGCGCAGGGCGATGGCGGTGGCGCTCTGCCAACCCCCGCCGCCCCGTTGATTTTCGCTGCTCCCCCCATAGCCAGCTTTCCGGGGCCAGCGGCGAGGGTCCGCGGCGGCGCTGAGCCAACCCCTGCCGCCCTTTTTTCCCCACTACCCCCCTTCCTCAATCTCTCTTTGTTTTTCCCTGTCTCCCTTCATTCTTTCCCTCTCTCACTTTCTCCCTTCATCCCCATCACTTTCAGTTCTTCCCCCCCTCCCTCCCTGTCTGTCTGGCTTACTGTCTTGTCTATGTCTCCCCCCTCCCCCATCTTCCTGCCTTCCTCTCTTTCTCCAAGCCCCTCTATGTATCCATCTATCTATCTATTTACCACCCACCCACCCTACCTTTCTAGGGCTCATTGTCATCATCCACAATGGACTTTGCTCCGTAGTTGTTCTATAATACTATAGCCTTGTGAAATAAAACCACTGTATATTTCCCCTAAACTGTTCAAGAGATGCAGATGGAAAGAGTTTTTCCTGGCTCCCACTAATTCTTCTGATTCTGGCCACCCCCCCACCAGCTGCATTAGCCACTCTTCCTGAGGACTCCTAACTCCAGCACAGAGGAACAGAGGATCTGCAACCAGCAAAAATCTCTTCCATTAATGTATTTTATCTGCACTTCTTTAGGATCCAAATCTCTGTAAATAAAGATTGCACTAATGTCCTGGCCCCCAGGTGCAAGGCGAGCTCCCACAACCACAGGGTGTCATAGAACCTGTTCTCAGGTCACAATTCAACATCAAAGTCCAGGGTCCAATAACACAATCCAAATGCAAGGACAGAAGGCAGTCCAAGGTCTCAGTCCAGGATCAAAGAACATGTTCCAAAGGCAGGGTCCAAACACAGTCCAAGGGTTAGGTAATGAGGTATCACAAACCAATCCCAAGCCACCCAACCAGCATCAGCAAAGCTACAAACACACCCTTCCCACACTGACTCTAGCTTCATTGCAGCCTTATATAGGAAGTTACCCAAGAGGTCTCGTGCCAAACTCCCCTCACCACCAGCTGAGTCAGCTCCTTTACTCCTTTACTCATGAAGGAGTACTGGGGCCAGATCCTGCAATACCTTATGGGTTTCTACTGGCATTCCCTCAGCAGAGGGTAGGCCTTGGGTCTCCACGTGCACTGCCTCAGTCCTTGCCTTTCACCTTCTCTGCTCCTGGGGTCCTTCAGCAGACCATAGTGAGTCTGGTAGTGGGCAGGGCCATGCTGGAGCCTCCTCCTGGCTTGAGGGTAGCGCTGGCTTAGAGGGCAGCATGGGTGCCTTTGGGGAGACCCTGAGACACCAGACTCACAGAGAGGGTCTGCCAGCAGGGCTTGGGGATGGGATGGGTTGTCCTCCTCCTCTTCCTCTAGTCTTTGCTCACTAAACAAGGTGGTCCATGACAACTAGCCTATGAAACTATGCTTCTAAAAACAATGAACAATTAGGATTCCTGGGTTTTTATTACCTTTACATTAAATTATAGAAATGTTGGCATACATGCCTAGGTAAGACATCAGACCTGGTGATCTCACCCATCTATTTGACAGCTATGACAGCCACAGCTCAGTAACAGTGACTCAGCTGTGTGTGCTGATTGGCTGTACCTTGTATATAAGTGTAAAGTATCTGTACGATTTACCCCTTCTCCTCTATGCCTTGTATGGCGGAGCACTTTGTCAGTGAGTTCCAGAATATATATATACCTGTAAATAAATTGTAAATAGTTAAGCACTGGACTGTGTCTGTGTGGCTTGCTATTGCTAGCACTCAGCTGGCATAACTGGGCATCAAGGTCACAGGCTGTGTACAACTAAACGCTCTGCGCGACAAGAAGATGGTTCCAGAACATTTCTATAAATTTGGCTTCTTTTAAACAAATCATACAGCCAAGCAGCAATTTCTTGAATATGTTGCAGTAACTGTAATTGACTGGATACAAACTAGGGCCAGTCACACACTTGTTTTATATTTTCCCCAGTGTAAAAAGAAAAGGCGGTAAAACTGTAAACAAGCAAATCTGGACAGTAATGTGCTAGAATTTGTGCTTACTCTCTCTCCTCCTTTCCCTCTATCCATCAGAGGAATTAAAGATTTTTATGTGACAGAGCTGATGCTTTGATCAATAAAACGACAACCATCATTTACACTGAAAAGTTAAGCGCAGTTCCAAGAATCTGCATTAACCATGCTGGGTGGTAACAACAGAATCAATAGACAGCCATTGCACTTAGTGAAGTGCATAAATAAAGTGCAGCTAGGTTTTTTTCCTATCTGACAATGAATACAGACGAAGCAAACAATCTACTAGGAGCTTCCACTCACACACACACCCCGCACAAATTAATACAGATGTGTTCATCTTGCCCCATCAACTGTGTTCAATCTAATCAGGCTTGTGTAGAAGGAGTTAATAGCACAAGGTTGATTTGACAAAGCAATACTGAACTCAGAATACATCTAAGTATAAATAAAAGGATGCTTTAATTTTCAACCTTCTATCCACCCAGTCAGTATTATCTCCAAAATAGTCCGAAGCTGAAAAATCTTATCTTCTTTAAGAGCCAAACTGCATGTGATACTCAATTGCATGCAGTTTGTCTTCAAGAGGTAGCTGTTTGACAAACTGCAGCTTCAGATACTTTAAACACTTTGAGTGTGTGAGAGAGACTTTTAATGATAGATGAAAAACAACAAAGAGGCAGGGAAAAGAAAGTATCCTCGCTCTCAGGTGCAGAGTGGGAAGGAGACATCAACTGGGATGGGATCCTTTCTTGGGATCCTCACCTAGTCTTAGCGGGAGAAGGTGTCTGATAGCTGTCAGGAAAGAAGAAGGAGATTGGATTTCTACCCTGCCCTTCACTACCCGAAGGTGTCTCAGAGCGGCTTACAAACTCCTTTCCCTTCCCCTCCCCACAACATACACCCTGTGAGGTAGGTGGGGCTGAGAGAGCTCTTGACAGAAACTGCTCTTTTTCAAGAACAGCTCTTATCAGAACTACGGCTTGTCCAAGGGCATCCAGCCAGGTGCAAGTGGAGGAGTGGGGAATCAAACCCAGTTCTCCCAGATTAGAGTCCGCGCACTTAACCACTACACCAAACTGGCAAGACCATGTTGCATCTTGCTGCTGTGGCATGCTATATGTCCTCCTTATGAGAGATCTTTCCCCTCCTTTCCTGGAATCTGGTATCGGAGCGGGGGGGGGGAGGTGTTTTGTTGGTGTTTGAAGAGGAAAACAATGCCTTACCTAGCCTCAACTCACTATACTCCATTTCTTTCAGCATTTTTCTACCAGCCTGGCCAACTTTGGAGCCTGGTCGGGGGGGGGGGACCCAACAAGCCACTAGAGTTGGAAAAAAGAACACGGATTCTGTCTTGGCCATGATGCGATTTAGTTTTTAAGTCTCCTAACTTTGTCTCAGCTGATTACCTGAAATAATGGTGATTAAAACTGTAGGTGGAAAAAAGAGAGAATGGCTATTGAAAACACAGTAGAGGGGGATGGAAATAATGATGTGCCCTTGAACTCATAAACACTGCAGTGAGCAATTACCTTAAAGGAGTAAAGAAGCCACCCACATAACAGCACCACAGCTTTGTTCCTTATTTTCAAAGAACAAGCTTTGAAATCCTTCACACAACACTCCATATCAAAGCGTTTTCTTTCCTCGTCTGTTATTTAACTTAATTAGAGATAATGCAAACACAGATTTAAACACTGATTGCTGCATAAAAACAACCACCACCACCAGAAGATGCTGTCAAAAATTAATTGATTTTGTTTTAATCTTGTAAAGCTTCCACAGCTTCCACCATACCTGACTGGAGCGCCTCTGCTCTGTGCAGGCTTCAACATAACTGTCACAGTACTGTCAGTTTGATTTAAAGGTGTTTCCAGTTCATAGGGTGGCATAGAGGGTGCTAGAAAAAACAGGAACAGAGGAAGTAGTCACATAATTTGTACCTTTCATGTGATTCTAAAAATCCTGTTTTAAAATATCCTTCTGCAGAACACAAAGACTGTTTTAAAATGCAGAGGCTGGTGCAAACCCCCCCCCCCTTGGAAAAGAGGGAAGAAATGAATTGGTATGCAGCACTGTACCTATGTTTGGCCATTGTGGGCTTGCATGTAACATAAGTTTCATGTGGACTGCAGTCATCTCAGGGGCTACTGCCTCTAGAAGCCAGTCTTGGTGGATGATTTATTATCATGGTATTAATTGCCCTTCCAAGGGCTTTATAGCTGTAATTGAACCCATACTACTAGATAGTGGATAAACACTTAGCTAAGGCCACCCCATTTAAGTTGTGGCTGAATGGGAATTTAACTTTAGGTCTCCCGTGTCTTAGCCAACGAGTATATTTACTGTACAAATCAACCTTACTACATAATAGCATTTGAACTTAATCTTTCCCCACCCACAAAAATTATAACGTATACTTGTAATACAAAATGGAAGAGAGACTAGAAACAAAAAAGGATCTCAGCCTGTATATTGGTCCTTGCCCTGTTCCTTTAACAATAGACTGGCATATAACAATTTAGGAGGTGATATGTTTTTAAAGTGAAGGCAAAACTTCATTTAATTACTGCATGTCTGGTATGCAGCACTATACCTATGTTTTGCCATTGTGGGCTTGCATGTAACATAAGTTTCATGTGGACTGCAGTCATCTCATGGGCTACTGCCTCTAGAAGCCAGTCTCGGTGGATGATTTATTATCACGGTATTAATTGCCCTTCCAAGGGCTTTATAGCTGTAATTGAACCCATACTACTAGATAGTGGATAAACAGTTAGCTAAGGCTACCCCATTTAAGTTGTGGCTGAATGGGAATGTAACTTTAGGTCTCCCGTGTCTTAGCCAACTAGTATATTTACTGTCAAATCTACCTTACTACATAATAGCGTTTGAACTTACTCATTCCCCACCCACAAAAATTATAACATATACTTGTAATACAAAATGGAAGAGAGACTAGAAACAAAAAAGGATCTCAGCCTGTATATTGGTCCTTGCCCTGTTCCTTTAACAATAGACTGGCATATAACAATTTAGGAGGTGATATGTTTTTAAAGTGAAGGCAAAACTTCATTTAATTACTGCATGTCAGGCTGCTGACCAAGGCCACGTCTGTCTGTCTGTCTGTCTGTCTTTTTAGCCCTCCCTCCCCTGCACAGCAAGGATATTTTAACAAGACGTTAAAAACAACATTATAAATTATTTGTTAAAAACGAATTAACATACTTCACTGCCTCAGCCATATGCCTGGCAAAATATTTCCTTTTTACAGGACCTGTGGAACTG